CTGCCCTATTGCATGCCCCCCTTGCCCTGTTGCATCCCCCTCGTCCCGGCATGCTCCTCATGTCTCATCACACACAGCTTTCATCCTCTCACTCACGCCCCTTGCGTCACTGTGCCCCCCTGCCCCACCTTACATGCCCTCCACCCCGCCACATGCACCTCGCACTCTGCTTTACACCCCCTCACCCAAGCGTGGGGGCCGTTTGCCCCGGCACAGTGTGTCCCCCCACATCCGTGGCAGGGTGGCACCCTGGGCACTGCTGCCTGCAGCCACCCCTCTCCCTGCTCTCAGGGCGCCTGCCTGCACTGAAGACACAGGATGAGGGCACCATCTCCAAAATGCAGCAGATCATAACTCACCTCAGGAAACAGGTAGGTGGAGGCAAGGGGCACCCCCTGCTTCAGGCTAGGGGCTGGAGGGCACTGGAGTCCCCCTGGGAAGGAAGAGGCTTTGTCATGGTCACCCAAGAGGCACGGGCAGGATTTGCCACTTCCCTGCCGGATCATGCCCCTTGCGTTTGCTTTGCAGAAGTATAATGCCGATTACGATCTCTCAGCTACGCAAGGTGCAGACACGCTGGCCTTCGTGTCCCTGCTGGAAGAGAAACTGCTGCCAGTGCTGGTGAGTCTCCCCATCTCAGGGGGACGCATGAGGAAGGTGATCTTGCCGAGGACCGGATCTGCTCCCTGGAGTGATGCTGGGGGGCTCGGTTGTGAGCCCACCTGCAAGGAGAGGCAGAGAATGTTGCAGGCAACAAAATCCCAGGTGTCTGGAGCATCAGTAGCAGGGATCAGGGTGCCGGGGTTCTTGTGTGACAGCAGTGGGTTGTGTAGCCAGGGCTGGGGTCTGGCATTGATCCTGGTGCTCCCTCAGACCCTCGCGGTCTCTGGGAAGGCCAGTCCTGTGCCAGACACGTGGCACCTGTGTGTGCAGCGCCAGGCATGGGCTCCACGGTGCCCACCACGGCAAAAGGCTGTGCTGGCTCCAGCCCTGCCATGGCCTGGGCATGGATTTTTCTCTGCTGCAGATCCACACCTTCTGGGTGGACACAAAGAACTACGTGGAGCACACGCGGAAGTGGTACACTGAAACCATTCCCTTCCCCCTGAACTTCTTCCTGCCCAACTGCATGCACAAGCAGCACCTGGAGCGGCTGCAGCTTATGTGGGGAGACAGCTACATGGAGGATGAGGAGAAGCTGGAGAAGGAGGTGAGGCGATGTGGTCTGGGCACGGCAGGTCCTCGGCTGGTGCCCAGAGGGACCCACACAAGGCCAAAATCTTAATTGGGGTCCGGGGCTCACCCTGGCTGAGCACCCTCTTCCCACTCCCCTTAGCACCGTGGCAGTCTGCCGCGTGGCTGCGTGGGTGACAACCCTCTATCCTTCTCCAGCTCTACCGGGATGCTCGGGAATGCCTGACACTCCTGTCCCAGCGCCTCGGCTCCCAGAAGTTTTTCTTTGGAGACTCGTAGGTGGCCATAGGGGGAAGGTGATCTGGGGCCTGAGAGCCCCCCACACCCAAGCAGGACCGAGACCCCATGGTCTGCAGGGAAGCTGCAGCCCATGCACGTCGCTTTGGGGGTTGGACGGGCTCACAGGGGACACAGCTGTCTGTGGCAGCACAGAGCGATGTGGGCGGCAGAATTAAGACTGCAGGAGCTGCCGCCAGCCCTGGCATTTCTTTCCCCATCTCTTGTTGGAGCTAGTAGAATTGCTCCGGGGTGGGATCATCCTGCTTTCCCCCTCCTCACCTTGGGGGCTGGAAGCAGAGAGCCTTCCCGAGGAGGAGGAGCTGCTTGCTGTCCCCTGAGGCGCAGGGGGCTGGGGGTGGCCAATGTGTCTGGGTGGCTTTGGGTGGGGACAGCGGGAGGGACCGTGACCCAGTTGCAGGTTTCTGTGCCCCAGGCCGGCCTCCCTTGACGCCTTTGTCTTCAGCCGCCTGGCGCCACTCCTGAAGGCAAAGCTGCCCAACGGGAAACTGCAGCAGCACCTGAAGTCCCTGCAGAACTTGTGCAACTACTGCACCTCCATCCTCAGCCTCTACTTCCCCTGGGATGGAGGTGAGATGCGTCCTCCCACCTCGCCCCACGGGCTCAGGGTGACTTGTTCTCCCTCCACACCCCTGCTCTGCCCCCCCAGGTGAGCCCCCAGCCAGCGCCCCGCGGGCTGCGGGTGCTGATGGCGGTGAGACAGAGGAGGACCCCCACAAACGACGGAACCAGCTGCTGTCGGTGCTGGTGGGGCTGGCGGCTATGCTGGGCTACGCCTTCCTGAGCGGCATCGTCTCCATCCAGCGTGGCGGCACGGGGCTGGCTGGCCGCCAGCCCATCACCTTGGAGGAGGAGGAAGAGGAGGAGGAGGAGTAAGGAAGAGCTGCTCGACTGTCCCTCCTCTGGTCCCTGGAACTGACTGTTTTTACACTGGGAGCCTGGCAGCATCGTTCCCTGTGGGTGCTCTGCTCTGTGTCCTGCCAGGAATCCCAGCCCTCTCCACGGGGAGCGCGACTGCCATGCCAATAAACCTCCCTCTCTCCAGCTGCTCCCTCTTGTCCTCCCAGCAAGCTTGGGGCCCTTCCCAGTTTCCCCAGTTGCACAGGCTGCAGCGCTGCAGTGGGCACCGATGTGCTGCCTTGTTGCCTGTCTGGCTCTGCCCCAGTACCGCACCCTGCGTCCTTCCCGCAGCTCTGGCCCTCATCCCCAGCCTTGGGGCTCTCTGGGGATGGAGTGAAGGGGAGACCTGCAGGTTTTTAGGTTCCTAAAAGCATCTGTGAGCGTCTTGGCAGCATTCCCCATCCTTTCTCTGGCAGCTGTGGGGCTGAGCCCTCCATCTGTCCTGCGCTGCAGCATCCCTGCCCTCTGGCTGCCAGGCAGAGCAGACAGCAGGTTGTATGGAGCCAGCCCCCCCCCCCACCACACTGCTGCCAGCCCGGCTTCCCCCAGAGCCGCAGCACTGCTGGAGACGGTCTCTGCTGCAGCAGAAACCAGTGGCAAGGGAGGCCTGGGCTTCTTGGCAGGACGCGTCCCCAGGCCGGGGGGGCAGGAGCGCTCCCCGCTGCTGGAGGGACACCTGGATCCCAGCTCCCCACAGCAGCGTGAGCAGGGCGGTGAGCGGCCACCGCTGCAGCAGGAATTCCTCTGTTTGCATTCCTCTATGCCTGCCAGCAATGGGGAGTTCCTCGCAGCTGGCACTGCCAAAAGCACGTCACACAGTAAGCACAGATCCGTGCGGTGGCCAAGAGGGCTTGAGCTGCAGAGCGGGACCTGGGGCCGGGGGCGGCCACCCAAGCACTGTGTGCCCCAGCAGTGCTGTTGGTGCACCCTTGGGATGTGCCGCATGGGGCCCAGGCCTGTGGCTGGCCGCGCTGCTGTGGTTTTCTCTGGCTGCTGCTGGTTTACGAGTGCACAAATGGAAAAGCGGCGTCTGGCCAGGCTCGCCTGCATGCAGGCTGCCGGGTGGCACTCAGCCCTTGCTTGTTCGGCCGCTGGCTGCGCCACCGCTGGCATCCTGACACTGCTGCTGTGGGCACCCTTAGGGACTGGCTGTGCCTGGCACTCCCGGGCCGAGCTCCCCAGACACGCATCCCACGTGCCCCCCACATGGGTGTGATGGCCAGGGGGGCCCCCGCATTGTGCCGGGAGTGGAGCCATGGTGCTGTGCCGGGGCCAGCTGTGGAGCCTCCTCCACTCTGGCCCAGTTTGAGGGGCCCCACTGGGAAGGGGATGACTCAGTGCAGCCCCCCCATGCCTGCTCCCCCATAACGTCACTCGGGAAGTATGTGCCCAACGCTCCCGGTTCCCATTAGCTGGGGGGGGGTGGAAGGCCAATGGCTGCTCCGGCAGGAGAAACCGCAGCACACGGCCGCCTGCTCTGGCCGAGAGAAGCTGGAGCTGCTGACGCTGGGGCCCTGTGCTGAACCCCAGCTGCAGGTCCTGGCTGCTGCTGGCCCCAGGTCCCTGCCAGCTTCTGGCCCCTGCCCTGCCTGGGGGGATGCTGCCCCTCCCGGTGACAGCCCCCTGCCTCCCTGCAGCACAGACCCGGTCCCTGGTAGGATGCCCCCAGGAAGCTGGGCAGAGGTGGGATGGGAGCCCATGGAGCTCAGCAGGTACTGCTGACCCCAGACCTGCCTTCTCCTCTGGCTACTGGCACGGTCCTGCCCACTGAGCAGGCAGCAAGGGAGGGCAGAGAGGGCGCAGGCGAGGTTGTAGAAAACCTGTTTATTTTATGAAAACATGTAGACAAGAGCAGGCGTTGCAGCCCTCAGATCAAACAGGTCCCCTGGGGTGTCGTGGGGCTGTGCCGCAGCCCCAGCTCCGTGCAGGGGCCCGTCCCCAAGCCCTCCACCAGCACCGCACTCCCGGTGCCAGCGCCTCCCTCCTCTGCCAGCCACGGCCACGCTAGGCTGGCTGCTTCCACAGGAATGTCTGGATAGAGTCACCAGGAGCCATGGCCTCAATGAAGCCAACTTGTGGGTCAGAGATCCCGAAGGACACGTCCACAGGGAAGCTGTGGGGATGCGAGAGGGGATGCAGGTCAGAGGGGGCAGCTGGGCTTCGAGCTGGGGCACAGGGCTGAGCTACTCACCGGTTCAAGACCACCAGGACGATGGCGCCGTCAGGGCGCAGGAAAGCCGAGTGCTCTAGCTCACACTGGCGGCACTTCTTGGACACAGCCAGCCCCATGCGCTGTGAGCCCTCGGGGATGAACTTGCTGCAGGGACAAGCAGGGCCTGAGCACGGTGCCTGGGATGGTGGCTAGAGCTGGCAGCAGGAGCCAGCAGCCCCTCACCAGCCACCCCCGGCCCCAATCCACCTGAAGTGTCCCAGGTGGTAGAACATGGGCTGCTTGTAGAAGACATCCTTGCTGCTGTCCACGATGATGGGGCTGTCCACGTAGTTCTTGCTCCAGTTGGGCCCCCCCTCCAGGTTCAGGGCCAGGTTCCAGTCGGTCCAGCCCGTCACATAGTTGTTGAGGTTCTGTGGGGCAGGTGATGGTGCTGAGCCGTGGGTGGGCGCAGGGGGTGGCCGGCGTGTCAACAGCCCCTGCTGAGCCCTACCGTCAGGATGCTGTGACTATACTTGCTCCCACGGTCCCAGCCACCCAGCACCACCCTGGGCTCCCAGAAGTAGGAGCCGGTGGAGGCCTCTGTGGAGAGGAGGAAATAGTCCGGGAAGAGATGATGGGTGATGGAGAGCGTGAGGTCGATGGGCGCCAGGAAGTCCAGGTACCAGTGGATGCCAATGCCGCTGATGTAGCTGGCAGCCACAGGGTCTTTGAGAACCTGGCAGGAGAAAGGCGTCACTGGTGCACAGAGCTGGGAGAGCTGCCGTGGGGCCAGGATAGCCACCGTGGAGCCAGAAGAACCACCATGGGGACTCACCACCTGGGCCCAGTAGGGCAGCATCACCCTCTGGTCGTCCAGGATGATGAGCCGGACATCACGGTGGGAGCTGTTGGCCAGCGTGGGGCCCAGGTCCCGTGCAATGAAGTCCCGCTGGTGCTCAGGGGAGAAGCCCAGGCACTGGAAGGGGTAGAAGACAATCTCGCCGGCCGTGGGCTCGTTCCCCGCCGTCACTGCCCAGAAGGTCAAGTTGTGCTTGGCATATTCGTCCAGGAACCTGGGCGTGGGGGCAGTTGGTGAATGGCCCCGGCACGGCAGCCCCAGTCCCACCTCTGGGCATGGTGACCCCGGTGCCCACTGCACTCCCACAGCCCCTCACCGGATGAAATACTTGGCCCAGGCCTGGTGGTACTTGTCCCCAGGGCTGCCCTTCAGTGTCCCCCTCCCTGTCATCGCACCATTTGTCTTCATCCAGACTGGGGAGGTCCAGGGACTGGCGTACAGTGACAACGGCCGCTTGGCCACCGCCTGGGCTGCCCGGAGCGTGGGGATCTGGGGAGAACCAGGATGGCAGTGAGCTCTCCGAGTCTGCCCCAGCACTGGCATCGCAGGTGGCAGGACAAGTCCTCTCCCTCCCCATCAGCAGGAAGATGCTTCCCTTCCCCATCCCATCTCATCCCGTTCCACCCAGGCTGCAGCCGCGGCACCTTGGGCTCACCCTGTGGGACTCACCTTCATCTGCGTGTCCTCTTCTGTCAGGTTGAAGTGCTTCAGCTCAAAGTCGCCCTCCACATCAGCATAGGTGTACAGGCGGATGGAGAAGTCAGTGCTGGCCATGGGGACACGCACAAGGTTGTACTCGATGCCTGGGGACAGAGCGGGCGGTGATGGGCATCCCTGGGGTGTATTCAGGGGATGTAGCCCCCTGGCTTCCAGCCCTTTGGCATGAGTCTCAGCAGCCAACCCCCAGCAGGGGAGGCTGGACAGACTGGCTCTGCCACCCAGCAGCACCACTCTGCCCCAGGCTCACCTTCCTCGGAGAAATAGGAGCGGAGCAGGTGGTTCTGGGCATCCTTGGACAGAGACTGGATGTTGATGGCAGCTGAATCTGTGACAGACCCACCAAAACCCTTCACCTTCTGGTACCGCTGCGCCATGTCCAGGGTGAGATGGAACTCTGTGGGGGACAAACATCATCGCAGCTGCTGTGTGCAGACGGACTCCGTTCCCTGGTGCTCAGGCAAGCATCTGGCCGCGGCGGGTACCTGGGGTCTTGGCGTTGCGCTGGAAGCTCCCCTCGCTGCGCTCCAGCCGCTTGCCGGCCTTGCTGCTCTCATACTTCACAAAGGTGCCCAGGGCCGGCAGGACCACGGGGTCCAGCGTGTCGCAGTACGTGGCGCTGCAGGCGCACACCAGTGAGCCGTGACCAAAGTCCTTGGCATCGCAGGGCCGGCCGCCTGCAGCAGGAGAGACTGGGCAGGCACCGCACTCCAACCCACCATGGACACCGAACCCACGGCTTTGGTGCCCCAAACCACTGACCTCTGCAGCCCTCTGCTCAGGGACACGGTGCCAGCACTTACCTGCTGCTTGCAATGCTGCCTGCACCAGCAGGAGCCAGCCCAGGACGCCGGCACACCCAGGCCCCATGGCACCTCTGCTGCAGCACGGCTTGGACAGATGCTGACGGCAAGCACCAGGGCTGGGAGCTGGGCAGCAGGTGTCAGCAACCAGCTCCTCTTGCCCTGTCCCAGCCCCGCATGGGGACAGAGACACAGGGCAGGGACAGCCCCAGCATCCCCCTGCCTGGGAGCCTTGGGGACCATGAGCACCCCCGTGCCACCTTGCCCACTCCCCACAGCCTCAGCCCAGCACTCACCTTCCCTCCTGCCCCGCTGGTGCCCATGGACAGCTCTGGCTGCATCCCAGCCCAGGGTGCAGCCCCCCGGGTGTGTGCCGCCCCGCACCCACCGGCATTCCCAGCCACCCATGCCGACTGTACCAGCAGCTTGGTTCCCTCCCACTCCTTCTCCCTCCCACTCCTTCTCCCTCCTTGCTTGTCCCACGGCTGTGTCATGCCATGCCATGCCATGCTGCTCCACGGATCCCCCGTGCCTCCCAAGCCACAGCCGGGAGGAAACAGCTCCATGCTCTCAACCCCACAAGTGTAGCAGCAGGGACTTGCCCACCCAGAGCTACTTGGGGCTCGAGCCCCCAGTGCAGAGGGGTTCCGCACTTCCCTGCTCTCTGCAGGTGCTCCCACCCTGCCCTGCCCTTCCCACAATGCTGGGCAAGGAGCTTCTCAACAAGGGCACGGAAGGAGCCACCTCTGCGCCTGCTGCCCCTGGGCAGGGGAAGGCGAGGGTGGGATGGCACCAGCTCGCTGCTCCCCAAGACTGTGCAGGATGGGGACCCAGGGCCAGGTGGGCTGTCCCACAGCCATCACCTCCTGCTCCCCGCCTGTGGCTGATGCCCAGTGCCATGGGCATGGCCTCATCATGGTCCTGCTGTCCGGGGCCATCCCCATCCCCACCAGCTGATGAAGCTGCTCTGGACCCAGAGTGCTCACCTGCTGCCAGAAAACCCTCTTGCCGCGTCTCTGCTGGGCGTGGGGCAGTGGGGCGGCAGGACCTGCTTTCTGGCTGTGCGTGGTAGGAGGTGACAGCGTCTGGTGGAGCAGGAAAGGTGAGTCTGGGAGAGGATGGCTCATGGGACTTTGTGCATATGAAGAGAAACCCGTGGATGATTTTGCAACCTTGCTCCAATGAGAGTTTTCAACACTCACCGCAGCATTTGCAAAGCTCTCCTAAAACCTGTCCCAGTATCCAGAGGGAAGCTGGGAGGGGGGGGCATGGCAGGATGCCCACCAGCCCCCCAAGTGCTTCTATTGCCCCAGACAAGACCCCCTGCCTGCAGCCACCTCTGCCTAGCCCCAGCACAGTGCTCCCCTTGCAAAGAGTCCCAAAAAAGCAGCCTTTTCTCCCCAGGACACCCTCAGGCAGGGGTAGGGCCGGCCATGCCCACCCAGGTGTCCCTGCTGGGGTCAGGCAGCTGCTGGGCCTCAAGTCCCACCTGGCAGCAGCTTGGCTTTGCCACAGGCACAGGCTTGCTGTCTGCAGCCAGTGCTGCAGCCATGACCACTGCACCAGCAACTTTCCTGGCGTGGGCAGGGGTTCTGCCGAGGCTGGGGGCAACCCCACGAGCAGCCAGCCACAGCAAGGATGACTACACCCCACTCCTCGCTGCCCAGCTCAGAAGGCGATGGGCGCAGCGGGAGGCTGCAGGTGCTGCCTGTCAGGGCCCCCGCTCACCCCTGTGTGGGGCCGTGCCCCCCCACATCTGAGCCCCATGCCCGCAGCCAGGCTGGGTGGAGCAGGCTGCAGCAGTTTATCATCTGCAAAACAAGCCTGGGCTCCGCACCTTCTAATTTGGGATCCTTCCTAATTGCAGGCACCTGCCCATCAGGAGAAACAGGAGTGGGGCAGAGCTACGGGAGAGGCAGCATCTGCCCACCCTGGCCCCGGCGCATCCCCCTGATGTCACTCATGCAGGTGGCCAGGGAGGCAGCCCCTCACCTGGGGACCACTCTTCCTGCTGCGGCCAGAGCAAGGACCAACCCAGCATCGGCTGTGGCCAGCAGGGACGATGGAGGTGATTCCTCCAGCCTCACCCTGGCCCCTCACACCCACCACTGAGGATGTTGCGTCCTTCAGTTTCCCCGCCAGCTTTTCGGCATGGAGGGAAGGTACAGCCCTGCGACAGATGTGTTTCCAGATGGCCAGGGAGCACAGAGCCCGCCTGGAGGGGCTGTGCCAAAGCATTTCCCTGCACACACGTCCCTGAGCACTGCTGAACATCTGGGGGTGCAGGGGCTCCGTATGTGCCTTCCCTGCATGGCAGAGCTTTGATGTACTTTGAGAAGTGCAGGCAGCCCAGCTGACGTTTAGGCCGACGCTACCCAGGAACATCAATAAAAGCGCAGGACGGGCAGATGTGCTCCCTGAATGGGGTCGAGACGGAGCCCAGTGCTACCTTCATGCCACGCTCCAAGAAAACAGTTGTTAAACCTCTTTGGTTTTTTTTTTCCTTTTTCCCCAACATCAGCAACTTCACAGCTCACGCACAAGGGGAGGTAGCCAAGGACTGCTCTGGCTTTCTCATTCCAGGACTTCAAAGATGCTGGTAACGTTCCTAAAGGCTGGAGCAAGCAAATACTGTAACTGGTATTTAAAGAGAGCAAATAGGATGGCCAGGTAATTGCGGGCTGCCAGCTCAATGTCAGCCACGGCCAGAATAGAGGGGAGTCTGTCCGGAGGCCACACCAGTGGAGAGTGGCTGGATGCAGCCAGCAGTGTGAGGCCTGGAGGGGATGGCATCAACCTAATTTGTCTGTGAGGTTTGGTGGATGGGGACACTGATGTAATTTACTCAGCCTTTTCTACAGTGTCTGCTCTAATGCAGCAGGATATTTTGATTAAAAAAAAAAGTAGGCTGGGGAAAACCAACAGCACATATGAAACGAATCAAGAGCTGGCAAGCAGCTGAGGCTCCAGCTGCAGCGATAAACAAGGCAGCCGCATGCGGGCCACGGGGACGAAGCCCTCCGGGGGCACCCCTCGCCCTTTGCCGCCTCTCTGAGGAAAACCGAGCAATTTCTGAGAGCGTAAAGGAAACACTGACGGGACGACGCATACCGGAGGGAGCACGTCATGGCTTTACTTGGCGCATGAGACACACGCGAAGGTTTCAAGGGAGCCACGTGTGAAAGCGTGGTCCAGGAGGCAGAGCAGCAGGAGCTTTCAGGGGGCTGGGGGGTGCTGGGGAGGGAAGGGGGAGGCTGGGAAGCACCAGCAGCAGCAGACCCCAGTGCCGGTGAGACCCTGGTCCCTCTCGCACCCCCAGCAGGTCACCACCCTCTTCCACCATTGAAGGATGCTGGAAAGGGTGGGGGAAGACCTGACACCCAGAGACCCCCAGCCACTCGGCGCCATCCCCAGCACTGCCCTGGCCATCACTGCTGGCGCCACAGGTAGGTCTGGATGGAGTTGGCTGGAGCCACAGTCTTGATGAAACCAACAGCAGGGTCTCGGATCCCGAACGGCACGTCCCAGCCAAACCTAGGGGGTAAGAGGGGTTGAGCAGGTTGTCACGGCCGGGGCTGAGCATCCCCTCGCCTGGGCTGACATGCTGACCTGTTAAGGACCACCAGGACAAGAGCCCTGTCGGGGCGCAGGATGGCCACGTGCTCCAGCTGACAGGAGAGATATCGGTGGCTGATGTGTAGCCCCACACGCTGCGAGCCCTCGGGGATGAACTTGCTGCAGGGAGAGGAGCAGGACAGGGATCATGCCCCCAGTCTCAGGCTGGCGGCAGCACCTGAGCCCCCCTGCCCCACCTGAAGTGCCCCAGGTGGTAGAACATGGGCTGCTTGTAGAAGACATTCTTGCTGCTGTCCACAATGATGGGGCTGTCCACATAGTTCTTGACCCAGTTGGGGCCCCCCTCTAGGTCCAGGGCCAGGTTCCAGTCAGTCCAGCCGGCCACAAAGTGGTTCAGTACCTGAGCAGATGAGGAAGGGGCTGAGCAGGGCTGAGCCAGCCCCCCAGCCCCAGGCAGGCAGTGCTGGGGGGCCGTACCGTCAGGATGCTGTGGCTGTAGTGGTTCCCTCGCTCCCAGCAGCCCAGGGACACAGAGAACCGGCTGGTGAGGAAGCCACTGCAGGCCTCCGTGTAGAGGAGAAAATGGTCAGGAAAGAGCTTGTGGGTCGCCTCCAGGCTGCAGCTGGCTGGGACGAGGCCATCCAGGTACCAGTGAACCCCCACGCCAGCAACATAGCGGGCAGCGGTGGCATTGCCCAGGACCTGGAGGGGAGAAGAGGACATGCCTTGCACCAGGGCCACCAGTGCTCTGAGCCCCATGGGGATGGACGCACAGACCCCACACGCCAGCAGGGTCTTTTAGGGCCACCTGCCCCCACTCTTGTCCCCTCCTGCAGGACCGCAGGCTCCTGCGCTTGCAGCCACCTCCCTTCAGCACCTGCACCCCATGCAGCAAGCCACGAGCAACAACCCGACATGGCTCCAGCACCCCATTGGGTACAGAGCAATGGGTGTGTGGGGACAGACGTGCCCCTTGGTGGGCTCCTCAACCCCTGCATGGCTCCTGCTGCTGCCTGGTTCTCTGCATCCTGCACCCCACCCCGGTGTGATCTTGCATCACTGCCCTGCCTAGTCCCCAGGTGCTGCCGGTTCAAGGTGAGGGAGGGATGTTCTGTGCCCTCCCCTGCAGCTCCAGCCTCGCTTTAGGCAGGGGCAGCAGCATGTTTTCTTTTCTTTTAGTTTAAGGTAATTCCCACAAACAGCTCTTCAGCATTGCGAAGGGTAAGCTAAATCAGCCAAAATTCTGCCTGGAGAAAGTGCTGGCATGCCAGCAGCACCTCTCCATGCCATGCTGCAAGAATCCAGGATGCAGATGCCACCTTCCGTCCCTGCTTCAGCCAGACACACGTGGAGGCGGTTGCTACTGAATTAGCCACCTTCAGCTCCTTCTCTGGCAGACCCGGTTTGCCTACTGCTCTGTCTAAGGCTCAGAGTGGCTGCTGGCTTAATTTTCAGCTAAAACCCAAGGCTTGAGTGGGACATGGAGTGGAGGGAGAAGAAGGAGCCAGACAAGGTGGCAGGCTTTGCTCTTCACCACTTTGGCCCAGCGCAGGAGATGGAGGCGCTGGTCGTCCAGGATCATGAGCCGGGTGCGGTGGGGGCTGCGGGCCAGCGCGGGGCCCAGGTCACGGATGATGAAGTCCCGCTGCTGTGCGGCAGTGAAGGCGATGGTGGGGAACTGGGGGGGCGCGAGGAGTGCTGCAAGGGGCTCGTTCTGTGCCGTCATTGCCCAGAAGGTCAGGTTGTGTTTGGCGTATTCGTCCAGGAACCTGGCATATGGAAGGGGGGGGCAGCATCAGCCACGCCTGCCCACCCTTACCCACTCCCCAGTCCCCCCCCAGGCCTCTGTGGTCCTCAAGCATCCCGGCCCTCGGGAACGATACTTGATGAAGTAGTTGGCCCAGGTCTTGTGGTACTTGTCCCCTGCCTGCCCCTTCAGCGTGCCCTTCCCACGGATGTCCCCGTTACTCTTCATCCAGGCTGGGGAGGTCCAGGGGCTGGCATACAGTGACAGCAGCCGCCTGCTCATGGCTGAGGCTCGATGCAGGAGGGGGATCTGCAGGAGGGGGCAGAGGGTCCGGCTCAGCTCCAGCTGCAGCCTGCCAAAACTACATGGCCCAGCACGGGAGGAAGGGGAGCACTCAAGGCACCTCTGCAGGGAATGGCAGCCTGTGAGCACCACCCCATGGCATGGTGCCCTGGCTCTGCACCCTGCCAGTGCCAGCCAGGATGTGCCAGGACGTGCCCCAGAGGAGGTGCCAGCTCTCACAGGCTGTCCCCACGCACCCTGCCACTGTGCATGGGGCTCAGCAGCACCTGGTCACCGGGGTCCCAGCACGCGTAGGAACTCCGGCAGGAGAGGGGGACAAGGTGCCAATGGCAGTGGCTTCAGCCTCCCACCTTCATCTTCACGTCCTCCTCGGCCAGTCTGAAGTGCTTCAGCTCATAGTCGTGGGGGATGTCGTCGTAGCTGTATGGGCGCACGGAGAAGTCGCTGCAAGCCATGGGGAGCCGGATGAGGTTGTACTCAATTCCTGCGGAGCCGGAAAGGCATCAAGCAGCACCAGAGCAGGCACCCAGGTGATGGGCATCCCTGCAGTGGGGACAGGCACAGCTGCCTCCAGGGACCCCAGGAGCCACCCCACACTGCCAATACCCTCACTGCTCACCACTCTCAGAGAAGTATGAGCGCAGCAGGTTGTCCTGGGCTGGCTGCGACAGCCCCAGGATGTTCAGGGCAGCAGCATCAGAGAGGGACCCGCCGAAGCCCTTCACGTGCTGGTACAGTGTGGAGATGTTGAGCGTCAGCAGCAGCTCTATGAGGGAGACCTCAGCTCAGTTTACAGTGCCTGGGGGTCCTGTGGTGGCACCCGCCACCTGCCTGCCCAGCTGCAGCAGGTACCTGGGGTGTGCAGGCTGCTCTGGAAGCTCCCCTCGCTGCGCTCCAGCCGCTTGCCAGCCTTGCTGCTCTCATACTTGATGTAGGTGCCCAGGGCCGGCAGGACCACGGGGTCCAGCGTGTCGCAGTACGTGGCGTTGCAGACACACACCATGGCATCGCGGCCGAAGTACTTGGGGCTGCAGGGCCGGGCACCTGGGGGGCACGGTCAGGGCAGGGGCAGCTGCCAGCTCAGGGACACGTCCCTGCCAGAGCTCTCCTGCCCACCCTGCGTGCTCCCACTGCCCCCATGCTCCACACCCCATCACCCCTCAGGGCACCCCAGCTCCTGCACTGCCCCTGAGCTCCTGACCCTGTCCCAGGTCACCCCAGAACCCAAGCCACGCTGTCCTATTGCCAGCCCCGTGATGTCCCTGCACTCACCTGCAGCCTGGGGCACCACCTGCAGCAGCAGCAGCGGCGGTAGCAGCCAGCCCAGAACGCCAACAGCCCCCATGGCTCCGGTGGGTCCCGGGGAGCGGAGCCTGCAAGCAGGGGCACCCTCAGCCAAGGCAGGTGCAGGCAGGGATGAAAGGACAGGCTGTGCTCGCTGGCTGGATCTGCAGTCTCCTCTGCCCCTGCTCTTTCTTCTGCTGCTGGGGAGCTCCAGCTGCATGCTCTGTCCTCCCACCCACAAAGACCCTTGCCTTGCAGGAAGGTGAGGTGGGTCCATCCCTCCCAGGAACACACAGCTCACCAGCCTCTGTCCCAGCTGCTCCTCGACCTGCACTACTGCCAGCCCTCCTCCTCCTCAGGCACCTCCAGCCTCCCCACCTCGCCTTTATGGGGAGTCGCTGCAAGACCTCCCTCTGCAGCACACCCTCTGCCACCCCCACAACTCCTCCTTGATCTCCTCCCGGCCCATACCTACCACTGGTCTTGGACACGGACCCTCATATGTCTCCTTGCCCTGGGATCTGGAGAACACCAGGTCTCCCTCACCTTCCGCTGCCACGCAAGGGCATCAGCCCCCAGAGAGGAGACAGGGACATCGTGCTGGCAGCTCTGCCTACGCAAAGGCCCCACCAGCACAGGGAGGCGCAGCATGGGGCAGTCCTGACAACCCACTGCAACGCCCTGAAGGAAGAGCTGACTTCTTTCTTTTGTCAGGCAGGGTCTGGATGAATCCCTGGAAGCACAGCAGAGCCCACGGGCAGGCTGTCCTGCTAATGAGTTCTAACAGCACCTCAGTCAATTTACCCCTGCCCATCACCCCAGTTCCTCCATTCCCCCCCTGCTATGGCCATGCACCCAGCATGGGGAGGGTCCAGGACCCCCAGGCAAGGATGGCAAACATGGCTGCACGGCCCGGCGCAGCAAAATGACCCACCAGGTGTGGCCACACAGGAGCTGGGACCGCTGCCATGCCCTGCCCTAGCCTTTTCATTGCTCGCCTCACCTCAGCATGCACTATGGAAGGCAGCAGCAGTAGCAGCAAGCTGGCAAGTGCCCCAGCTACTGCAAAGGCAGGGCTGCACTCTGGCCCCTGGCAATGGCAGCCAGGGCTGTGGTGTTGAGCCAGGCCCACAGAGGGGAGCCCAGTGCCCCGACACCATATATGCCAGGAGCAGAGCTCTGCTCCTCTGAGCCTGGTGACAAACCACGCCGGGAGTGCTCCCTGCTCCTCTGAGAGCAACCTTCCCAGTCCAAAGAGCCAGGGCTGACCTGGGCCAGCTCATCCAGGCACACAGACACTGCCTGGTCCTGGTCACATCACCCAGGACGTGCCCACTCCCATAGACACTCATGGACACACCCATCACTGTGGGGATACCCTCAGCATCTCTCCGCAGGGGTGGCCCAGAGGGGACAGAGCAGCCAGCTCCCAGCCACTGCTCCACCTACTTGAGAGCATCAAACACCAGGGCTCAGAGTTTCCCTCCACAGGGTTAAACTGCTCCGTTAGCTCTCCCTTTCCGGGTGGAGCAGCACTTCATGACTAATTTTCTCCTTTTCTGGCATATCAGATGCAGCTGTGGGGCAATTCAATTCATCAAAGTTCCTCCTACCCTCCAGCACTGCCTGCTTGTAGTCCCACACCCCACGGGGTGTCTGGACCAGCTGCCACGTGGGAAGGGGCAGACAGGGCTGGGCTGGGCAGCCCCCAGTTACCACTCAGGGGCAAACCGGCAGCCCTGGAAGGAAGCTCCTGGCCCCATCCCTCTGCCCCATGGGTCTTCCACCCCCAGCTGTGACTAACCTGCCAGCCGGCTTCTACACCCAGGCTAATAACCCCAACTTTGGGGAGGGGTTAATAGGGCAGCTCCTGCTGCTCCACAGTGATCACCTGCTTCCTGGCCCACTGCTGGCCACCTGGGGTGCCCTGTATACCCTTTTCCTCTCTGTTTTGGGATCCGGCTCTGCCTGCTGCCTGCCCAGCCACAGCTCCCAGGAGCAAAAACACTGTGGAGGCTGCTAGAGCTCATCCCTATCAACACCGGCTGATAAGAACTTCCTGCTGAGCAGGAAAAGTGAGACCCAGGGGAAGGGCAACGCCTTGGGACAGAGCTGGTGGCACTGGAGATGCTGGGCAGCCCCATCAAATCCTCTCAAAGCCCCTTCTTGCTGATGCTTCCAGCACGCAGGGGTTTCTTGTGGTGTTTGCAGACCTGCCCTGCAGTGGGCCGAGGAGCCTGGGGGGGTGAATTTTGTCCCTTAGCCAGGCCAGTGGGGATGGGAGTCTGGGAACATGGAGCTGGGACCGAGCTGCCTTTACGGGGAATGCAACTCCGAAAACAGCGCCAATGCGGGAGCCAGGCATGCAGAGCCTCAGTGCAGCATCACTTCAGGCTCCAGGCTCCTGCCAGCCCTGAGCGTGCGGAGACCCCACCCTTGCTGGTGGCCACTGGTTCTAGGCAAGCTGCTGGGGGGTCCCGTCCTCCCAGCTGCAGCAGCCACCAGCTGGTGTATGCCCCAAAATGATGTTGAAGGATTCACCCCCTCTTCATTTAACCCAGAGCTAGTTGGTCCTTCAGAGCCGAGCAGAGCACAGGGACAAGGGCACATGTCCCGGGATGATTCAGCATCCAACCATCAGCTTTTATTATCAGGGCCAGTAAAACGTTAAAGGAAACTGGTGAGTAACAACCTGGGGAAGAAGCAGCAGGTGGAGGAGCAGTCCTGCACCCGGGCACAGGCATACTGGAAGCGGGATCCTGGGAGCGGGGCTCGCTGTTGCTGTGATCCTGGAGAAATATTTCCCTCTTGTGGACAAACACAAACAGCCTCCGGGCAGGAGTGGGATGCTCCTGCCCCTCTGCACAGCCAGCTCTTCCCAGGACTCGCACACCCCACACCCCCAAGTGTTGTGGGGTCCCAGGGCTCCTGCCCCAGGACAGCATCCCGTTGGAACTGTGGCACAGGATGTGCCAGCTTCTTAGGGTGACCCTGTCACACACTTTACCCACCGCCCTGGGCACTGCCGGAGCTGGCGCTGGGCTGTGCCCAGCCCACGCAGCATCGCTGACAGCATCCCTGGGCCACATCCCGCATGCCTCGACCTGGCTGACCCGGATCGGCCCAGCAGCCCTGGCCTCCCTTCCTCACCCTACCTGCAATTGTGACCTCCCTGCCCTAATCCTCTGCTCAGCACACCCTCCAAGCTCCCTCGCTCCTTCCTGGGTGTGCCCACACTTGGCGCCCACTCCCAGCCCATGCCTCCTTGCTCAAGTTGCCCTGGCTCCATGGCAGGTGCTGAGTCCCTGGTGCACCCTCACAGCCTCCTTATTGCAGCAGGGACCACTGTGCCCCATACCTGTGGGGGACAGCACACCCCATGGCAGGGTTACTGCAGCCTGGCCAGCAACTTTTCCTGCAAAGCCCCAGGAGAAGCTTACAGATGCCCTGACTCCATCCACAGCCAGTTCCTACCCTGAACCCACTGTGCTGCAATGCTCCTGGAGCTGGTTCTGCCTCCAGCCCTGACCTCAGGGAGCACCCTGCACCGGGTGAGATGTGATCCACACAGGCCCCCAGCCCAGCATCGGGCTGCGAGTGGCTCCAGCTTGGCAGGAAAAGCACAGAAAGCTGAAGCTTGGCTGCAGTCCCTGCCCACAGCTTCCACCAAGGCAGGTGCCCAGGTGCTTCACCTCCACTCCTGCTCCAGGACCCAGAGCATCTGCGTTGAGGGTAAATGCTGCCAGTTCCTAAACCTGCCTGCGAAGGCAGTGGGAGAGCACCTGGGCTCAGTGCACCCCTCCGCCAGGCAGCACACACTTGGAACTGGGAACAGACTGGTGCCTGGAACACCTCCCCAGTAGGGTAAGCCCTGCTGTGAGTTGCAGGGCGGGGAGAGCAGCAGGGGTTGGGGGAGGGAGGCGGGGAGAGCAGCCACCCCAGGTGCTCTGGACTGCTCTTGGGACCCCCACGGGCTCTGTGCCCAGGTGGTACCCAGGAGCAGGGGAGGGACCTGGACATTTCTCTTCCAGCTGCAGACATAAAGGCAGCATCAGCATTTAATGTCAGAGCAGCAGAAAACAGCAGTCACAGCCTGTGCGATCTCCATCTCAAGGGCACCGGTGCTCCCGGCCCTCCTGCACGCGCACGGCGCTCGCTGGCCTGGCTCATTCCTCTAGCTCACCCAAGTGCTTGGCTCTGTCATGGCACAGGCAGCGGTGAGCCGCCTCCTCCATGCTCCCAGGCCCGAGCCTGTGGGCATCGTGGGGCTGCTCTCCTGGCCTGGCTCAGTTTGGCCCTTGGCCAGCCATGGGTGTCCCAGCCCTGTCACTGCCGCTTCCACAGGTAGGTTTGGATGGAGCTGGCCGGAGCCACAGCTGCGATGAGGCCAACCGTATCAGCCAACCCGAAGGTGATGTTCTGCAGGGACCTGGAGGGCGAGGAGCAGCAGGGTCAGACCTGCAGCAGCTCCCAAGCACCAGCAGTGCACAAGGCTCAGCAGGACGGGTCCCATGCTCGCAGGTTGGGCTGCATCACTCACCGGTTCAGAACCACCACCACCACAGCGCCATCAGGGCGCAGGAAAGCCGTGTACTCCAGGTCCACCTTCTTGGACTCTTTGGAGGCGATGAGCCCCACGCGCTGGGAGCCCTCAGGGATGAACTTACTGCATGGGCATGAGCAAGAGGCAACCCCAGGAAGGGAGTCAGACCCCAGAAAAGCTCCTCTCCCAACAAACCTGCCCTGCTCCCCTCCTGACAAGCTGCTACTGCAACCATGGAGCTGGAGCCCAGGCAGCTGAGAGTGTGTCAGGGGCCCCAACTCACCTGAAGTGCCCCAGGTGGTAGAACATGGGCTGCTTGTAGAAGATGCCTTCACTGGTGTCCACAATGATGGGGCTGTCTACGTAGTTCTTGACCCAGTTGGGGCCCCCCTCCAGGTCCAGGGCCAGGTTCCAGTCAGTCCAGCCGGCCACAAAGTGGTTCAGGTTCTGCAATAGGACAGCCCAGATGTCTGCCCAAGGAGTGGGGTGCTGATGGGAGAGGAAGCGTGGCGGCAGCTTTCTCCAGGGCCCACTCCACAGGGTGATGTGGGGGCCTCACCATCAGGATGCTGTGGCTGTACTGGTTCCCCCGCTCCCAGCAGCCCAGGATCACATCCCTCTCCCAGAAATGGGCCCCGATGCACGCCTCTGTGGCCAGGATGAAGTAGTCGGGGAAGAGCTCGTGAGTGGGCACCACTGTGTCCTGTATGGGACCAATGAAGTCCAGGTACCAGTGGATGCCAATGCCGTGGACGTAGCGAGCTGCCTCTTCATCCTCCAGGACCTGGCAGGAAAAAAAGTTGGCCACCACCAGGTCCCAGAGGGCAGAGAGCCAGTCAGCCCTCGTGCTGTGGGACGCAGGGGCCAAGCCCTCTGCAGGGATGTGCTGCACCAGCGGGACTGGGGCTTTGCCCCAACTCGCCATGCTGGTGGACCCCACGCTGCACTCACCACTTTGGCCCAGTGCGGGAGGTGGAGCCGGTTGTCATCCAGGATGATGAGCTGGATGTGGTGGTGGGAGCTGTTGGCCAGCGCGGGGCCCAGGTCCCGTGCAATGAAGTCCCGCTGCTGCTCGGCTGTGAAGCCCAGGCACTGGAAGGGGTAGTTGTTGATCAGCCCGGCCGAAGGCTCGTTCTCCGCCGTCACTGCCCAGAAGGAGAGGTTGTGCTTGGCGTATTCATCTAGGAACCTGGGCACAGGGGAGAGGGGTGATCCATGGGGTCTCAGCCACTGCCGAGGATCCCCTGGGTATCTCCCTGCACCCCTTGCCCCAGGCATTCCTTACCGTACAAAGTAGTTGGCCCAGGTCTTGTGGTACTTGTCGCCTGCCTGCCCCTTCAGCGTGCCCTTCCCCACAAAGGACTCACTGGTCTTCATCCAGGTCGGGGAGGTCCAGGGGCTTGCGTACAGTGACAGCGGCCGCTTGCTCATGGCCAAGGCTCGGTGCAGGAGGGGGATCTGCAGGAGGGGGCAGAGGGGCTGAGCCCCTGCACCCTCCCCCACCCCCCATCCTACCCCGCTCCCGCCCACCGCTCGCCTTCAGCTTTGTGTCCTCGTCTCGCAGGCTGAAGTGGGCAAGCTCATAGTCAAAGGGAACATCGTCATAGGTGTAGGCATGGAGAGAGAAGTCGCAGCTGGCCATAGGGAGCCGGACGAGGTTGTACTCCAGCCCTGCCAGGCACAGGGGATGGGACAGGCAGAGGTGGGCAGTGGGACAGGAGGTCTCCAAGCCCTGCCAGTGTCCAGGCAGAGGCCTGCAGGGTCCCTGTTACCATCCCTCCTGCCTCCCCCGATGTGCTTACCTTCCTCAGAGAAGTACGAGCGCAGTAGGTGATCCTGGGCTGTTTCTGGCAGAGAAAAGATGTTCATGGCAGCTGCGTCGGTAATGGAGCCACCAAAACCCTTCACCTTCTGGTACCGCTGTGTCGTGTCCACTGCCAGGACGAGATCTGCAGGGAGGGAAGCCAGTGTGATGGTGGGCCACAGGCAGGGTCCGGCCCATCTCTGCCAGCTGCAGCAGGTACCTGGGGCATGCAGGCTGTGCTGGAAGCTCCCCTCGCTGCGCTCCAGCCGCTTGCCAGCCTTGCTGCTCTCATACTTGACGTAGGTGCCCAGGGCCGGCAGGACCACGGGGTCCAGCGTGTCGCAGTACGTGGCGTTGCAGACACACACCATGGCATCGCGGCCGAAGTACTTGGGGCTGCAGGGCCGGGCACCTGGGGGGCACGGTCAGGGCAGGGGCAGCTGCCAGCCCAGGGCCACGTCCCTGCCAGAGCTCTCCTGCCCACCCTGCGTGCTCCCACTGCCCCCATGCTCCACACCCCATCACCTCTCAGGGCACCCCAGCTCCTGCGCTGC